ACCTCCACTGGGACGGTCAGAGTCAAGATTAACCACTTCAAACAGTCATAAAGCCACAAGGCTCCGTCAGAAACCCTGAGAGACGGGACGAAAAGCCACTCACCTCCGTCCAGCTCCTCAGTCCAAAACTTCAGACCAGCTATTTAACAACAGCTGCCATGTCGCAGCCAGCAGACATCGCAGTCGATCGACGAGTCATCGAGGCGTAGGGATTGTATATGTAAACCCATTCCCGCCGTTTGAAATAATAAAAACAAATATCCAGCGCCTAATTCTTTTTTCATTCTTAATCGAATTGCTTTGTCATTTTTTTTTTGCAGTACTACGTCATTATTTTGAGATGCTATTTCAGTATTTTGAGATATCATTTCATTATTTTGAGATGCTAATTTATTATTTTGAGGTGCTAAGTCATTATTTTGGAATACTATCTTTATTTCAAGATGCTAATTTATTATTTCAAGATGCTAATTTATTATTTCAAGATGCTAATTCATTATTTTGAAATACTATCTTATTTTGAGATGCTAATTCGTTATTTTGAGATGTTAAGTCATTATTTTGAAATACTAATCTTATTATTTTGAGATATTATTTCATTATTTTGAGATACTAATTCATTATTTTGAAATACTATCTTATTATTTTGAGATATTATTTATTATTTTGAGATGCTAATTTATTATTTTGAGGTGCTAAGTCATTATTTTGGAATACTATCTTATTATTTTGAGATATTATCTCATTATTTTGAGGTGCTAAGTCATTATTTTGGAATACTATCTTATTATTTTGAGATATTATCTCATTATTTCAAGATGCTAATTCATTATTTTGAAATACTATCTTGTTTTGAGATGCTAATTTATTATTTTGAGGTGCTAGGTCATTATTTTGAAATACTATAATATTTTTTTGAGATATTATTTCATTATTTTGAGATACTAATTCATTATTTTGAGGTGCTAAGTCATTATTTGGAATACTATCTTATTATTTTGAGATCTGATTATTTCAAGATGCTAATTCATTATTTTGAAATACTATCTTATTTTGAGATGCTAATTCATTATTTTGAGATGTTAAGTCATTATGTTGAAATACTATCTTATTTTGAGGTGCTACATCATTATTTTGAAATACTATCTTATTATTTTGAGATATGTATTATTTTGAGATATTATCTCATTATTTCAAGATGCTAATTCATTATTTTGAAATACTATCTTGTTTTGAGATGCTAATTTATTATTTTGAGGTGCTAGGTCATTATTTTGAAATACTATAATATTTTTTTGAGATATTATTTCATTATTTTGAGATACTAATTCATTATTTTGAGGTGCTAAGTCATTATTTTGGAATACTATCTTATTATTTTGAGATCTGATTATTTCAAGATGCTAATTCATTATTTTGAAATACTATCTTATTTTGAGATGCTAATTCATTATTTGAGATGTTAAGTCATTATGTTGAAATACTATCTTATTTTGAGGTGCTACATCATTATTTTGAAATACTATCTTATTATTTTGAGATATGGTCTCATTATTTTGAGGTGCTAAATCATTATTTTGAAATACTATCTCATTATTTTGAGATATTATCTCAATATTTTGAGATGCTAATTTATTATTTTGAGATGCTAATTCTTTACTTTGAGATGCTAAGTCATTATTTTGCCTTACTATCTCATTATTTTAAGTTATTATCTCATTATTTTGAGACGCTAACTCATTATTTTGAGATGTTAATTCATTACTTTGAGATGTTAAGTCATTATTTTGAGAAACTTTCTCATTATTTATATTTAAATATATGTTTACATTTATTTATATTTTCATTTCAAAAGCATAAAGCAACTCAAAATAAAAACGTGTCTCAAGAAAGTTTCTCAAAATAATAATGAGCATCTCAAAGTTAACTGGTGGTTTTGGATAGCAAATAAAATATCTATATTTGTGTTGTAGTCATGGTGACCCCTGGTTCCTATCACCACCACTGTACAGATGAGTCTGTATGTTTTTTCTACCATTAACTAATACACAAAACAAGACAGAATAAAGGCATTTTATTTCTTTATTAAATTCATTTCAGGTGTTTTTTTCTGCAGGATTCCTCAATAATAGACCACTGTAGTCGTGCGTCATTCTGTAGTCTTTGTTATGCCCATATTTGGAACTCCAGGTCTGAGCTCCATTTCTCTATGGCCAGAATGAATAGGGTTTTTGAAAAATCGCCTCTAGCGCCCCCTGTGTTAAACAGAAATGTTCAGAACCCGATACGTTTTGTCCTGTGAACATTCTTCTCTCGAATAACACTGGATCCTCTGAATTACAAGGTCGTTAAAGAGCTATAATACTAATATTGCTACATGTGAGCTAAAGCTACTGCGCATCAATTTGATGTCACTAAGCTACACTAAACTAAGGCGGGCTGTGCCGGAGCTCTGAGCTGTGCTACCTTATCGAAATGTCCTACTGTCGCGCATATTTACAGGTATACTGGTAAATAAAACCTCTGGGTGGGATATTTCGATAGACTAAAACTCCTTATTAAAAATACTACCCGTGTTAAACTACGAGGCTGAATTTAGCTTCTTTTTCGCAGCTTCTTGTTTGAATGTTCCCGTTCCACCTTGAATGATGCAGCAGCTGTGACTAGCTATCACAAACATTAGCAAACGAGACAAAATACTGACCTGTTAGTTCGGTGAAACAGCAAAAATAAGTTAATGTTACTCAGCTGTTAAGCAGAAATAGAGAAACCTCTTCATATCAGGCCTTTCAACCCTCCATGAAGCTGAGTCTGCATCTTTTTCTCCAGCTGCTTGTTCGAATTTCCCCGTTCCACCTTAAATGGCGCAGCAGTTCAAATGTGACTGCTGCACCACTTAAGGCGGAACAGGAAAAGTCGAACAAAAAGCTGGCGAATGTCCAGAGAAAATATCCCCAGAAAAATGTTACCAGTACTAAAATAATAATTAGGATATTCTGAGCCTAAATCAGTTTATCAGGGTGAGCAGTGATATTAAGCCGAGTCTGTATTGGATCAGCCAGACTGCAGTACGTTTGTAGATCTTTTTCAAATCGAGCTAAAAGGAAAGATCTATCCTGTTTCAGTGAGAATCAGATGAAGAACAGAGAACTGCAGGGAAATCTGCAGAGTTTGTTCTGACTTCTTTTCATCGCCCTCAGTCTGTATATGGAAATATACACTGACAAAGCCTGCTTAAGGAGGCTGCCAGTCTAATGACCTGAATTCAGAGCACAGTAGCTTTAGCTCACGTAGCAATATTCATATTTCAACTCGTAATTCAGAGGATCCAGTGGTGTTCGGGAGAAGAATGTTCACAGGACAAAACGTATTGGGTTCTGAACATTTTTATTGAACACAGGGGGCGCTAGAGGCGATTTTTCGGAAACCCTATTCATTCTGGCCATAGAGAAACGGAGCTCAGACCCGGAGTTCCTAATATGGGCATAAAAGCATGGAGCCGACTACAAAATGACGACACGACTACAGTGGTCTATGCTGGCTAACATAAGTGAGGACTGACCAAACTGAACGTCCCTTTCACCTTCTCGTATCGGGCAGGGATGACCTTTGCTTTAAATTAGGTGGTTGAGTCAGAAATCCTGCTAATTGAAATACACTGCAGGTTAGCGTCTGATTTAGTGCTGAGTCAGCAGTTCATTTTTCATTTTTAATGAATATTTACAAGCTACAGACCAAAGACAGACCATAATGTCCACACACTCTATACACTGTACATACATTTTAATGGATAAAACCTCTAGAAACATCAATAAATAAATAGCTCAACTAGCGACTAGCTTCGCGTGGCCGTTACTGAAAGGCTCGTCTAACTGAGGGCTAAAAAAGCTGGACTATACAAGCTTTTATAAATAAAAACCTCCTCCTGTCTGAGAGAAATAATACCTTCATATTCCTCTCACACAGCTATTAATACCACAGCAGGAATCGCTAACATGCAGGTTATATTTAGTGTTGTGATGTTAGGTTGGTTACACTCAGCACACAGACAGGACTGCTTTAGCTTTCCTGACACACTTAATTCAGTTAATGGACACTGAAATGAGCTGAAGAGCCAAAAGAGGTGCTAATCTCAGCACCCTAGCCCAATGCTAGAGGCTAGCATGCTAACAATGTCAACAGTCTGGAAAGCAGGAATGTCAAACTCCGGTCCTGAAAGCCCACAGAGTTCAGCGTTTATCCTGCCTTAACAGACAATTCAGCTCACAAAGCTGCTGGTGCTGAGCTGAGAGGTTAACTATAATGTAGTCAATGTTATTAGTTACTCATCTTTAATAACTACCCATTCTTATCACTGCATTCCTCATATAATGAAGCCCTGCTGAAATGTCCCATTAACCACATTCTTAAATACAGTTACTCTCTGAAAAACGGAGTGATTTTCTCGTTTTTCATTATGTTATGTGAGAAATATTGTACGTTTTGTTACTATTTCTACACTGATGTAGAGATTTATTTAGGTTATTTTAACTGTTGTCCTAATGTAGCGAGCCAGTTTTAGCTGCGTTCTACAGCAAAATGAACAAGAATAACGTTAACATTTGGAGCAGCGTTCACTCGCTTATGAGATATGCTGATTATTGAGTGCAGCATCAGAGCATAGCTGATTACTAACGGCCCTGACGGCAGGTCTTCACTGTAAAACACAAAGTAGCAGAACTTTTCTGTGGTGGCTGCTTTATTGACCATAACTGAGGGCCTTACTTTCTTTAACCCTCACCAGCCCTTGGCTACGCCCCTGTACCATTGCTAGGAAGGTCTCGCCTACCTTAACTGCATCCTTAGCTTTGAGACGCAGCTATAGTCTCCAAAAACCAGATTCATCCATCAGACTCCAGTGATTCATCACTCCAGAGACTGTTATCACTGCTCCAGAGTCCAGTGGTGTCGAGCTTTACACCACTCCAGCCGACGCTTGGCATTGTGCATAGTGATCTTGGCTGCTCCGCCATGGAAACCCATTTTCTGAAGCTCACAATGCTCAGTTTTTGTCTTGATGTTGTTTCCAGAGGCATTTTGGAATGGTGTAGTGAGTGACGCAACAGAGGATACGCCATTTGTATGCGTTACATACTTCAGCACTCGGCAGCCTCACTGTTGCTGCTCCTAAATGCTTCTACTGTACAATAACAGCACTTACAGTTGACCGGGGCAGATAAAGCAGAGCAGACATTGCCCAAATCAGTACGATCCATTCTACTGCCAGTGTTTGTCCATGGAGATTTCATGGCTGTGTGCTTGATTTTATACACCTGTTGGCAATGGGTATGGCTGAACTCAATAATTAAGAGTGGTGTCCACATACTTCTGGCCATATAGTGCACTTCCATGACTAAGTAAGAATCCTTCCAGCAGTACTGCAACCTTTCTGCTTCTCGTGGGCACAATATTAGCTCATAGACCATTAGAGACATGTGATATTTAGTTTGTCATTGTTGAGGTTTTAATTATATTCTTGTAATTTATGCTGTGTAATGTGTAATTTTATTTATAATGTGTAATAAAATGCTTGTAATTTATAATCTAAACCTAAAGATATAGAAAATGCACATGAACCTAAAAAATACTTCATGTGCTAAACTGACTTTTATTCAACCTAAATAAATATTTTGAATGAATGATTCTTTGAGTTGAATAAAACTAGTTCAATTGCTTTTTACTACATAGTGTTTTTAGGTTGAACTGACGAGCCCTTTTTACAGTGTAAGGCCCAACTCTGAAAGGGGGAGGAGTCAAAGTTGGTGTATTTGACTACATTCAGTTGAAAGTAGGCAATTCCTTTTTGACTGGCATAAAGGTTGGCACTGTAGGTAAGTCATGCTCCGCTCTGCACGACTGTCGAGAGCTGCTAAATAAGACTCTGTTTTGATGAAAGCTTATGAGAAACACAGGAGTACTTTTTATTTAAAAGGGACTTATTTTTATTATTATTTTTTCTGCATAATGAAATGGTTAAGATGTAAACGGAGTCGTTCAGAGTGGTTTGGTGTGAAATGCTCCGTTCTAGAGTCAGAATTGTTCACAGTGGTGGTGATAGGAACCAGACGTCCACCTCTAAAAGCTCCCTCACAGAAAGTTACTACATGAAATGGTTATGAATTCACTGCCTGATGACTTGTTTTATGATAGTTTGGAGAAGATTTTGGCTTTAAAATCCATTCATGGTGGAGGGATACTTAATATGCTGGGTGTTGTGAAGCAAAATAGTCCCCAAATAGAACTATTTCAGATTTTATCATCATTAATGTTCCATATAAAACTCAGAGGACACATGTAGGTTCACTGGTGGTGAAACTAAATAATATTGCTGTCACTAAGTTCTCTTTAATGAACCATTTCACATCAAATCACTCTTTTTGGGATAAAAAAAGTAAACCCTAAGCTTCAGTAGGCACCTAGTCGCATAACTGAGATGCACAACTTTGCACAATGAAGTGTATCTTTATCTCTTTATGCCTTTGTTATATAGAAAGTACCAGCATCTGCAGTACAGGAAACCAAACTGCAGTGAGCTGAACAGCAGTGTGGTTTCCTGTAATGCATGTGTTGGTACATCTGTATAAGTGTTATATTGGTGCATTGTCTTATATTATTACTATAATATAGCATCTACCCTAATTCATTAAGACTGATGGTAAATACTGACTGTGCGCTGTTTAACACCTGATAAAAGATCGAGAGAAAAACAATTTTTTTCAAACTTGTTTGTTTTCTTTGAAAAACAAATATCATGTCATTCTTGTCATTAAAGACAAAAAAAAAAACCCTAAAACCATAAATGGTTTTGGTAAAATGATGTTTTAAGCTGCTATTTCCTAAATTATTTGTCTTTAGAGCAGGTTTTGCCTAAATAGTGATTTGACAGTGTTCGGATGTAAAGGATAAACAGAAACTCAGCTACGCTCTGATCTACTAAACCTACTTCTGTCGTTGTTATTTGTGTGCGTTTTGGCTTATGTTGCAGAAATGTCACGTCCACTGATGCACTGCATGTTAAGATAAGAGGCTACAGTCACCCACAAGTTAAACATCTGACAGTTCCCAAACGGCCTTAGTGCTGTCAGTGAAGTTACACAGGGGTTACACATCACACGGCTTCCAAATGCTTTCGGCACCAAACTTAATTTCAGCTCGTCCCTCCAGCTGAAAATGAACATGTGTTTTGAAGTAGCGAGTCAAAATAATGACATTTTCTCAAATTTGTGATAGTTACTTATGCCAAAATAAACACATACTTTCTGACAACTTATTTATTTAAGAAAAAGGGCCATTATTTTGTCCTAATGAGTCTCAATTTGATCTAAAAGGATTTTATGGCCAAAAAAATCCTTTTAGATCAAATTGAGACTTTCAAACAGAATGTGAGCCAAATGGGTTTACATTGCGCTGGTCATATGTACAAAATTGTTCCTGTGATCATTTGTATGGAAATTCATAGTAGATAACCCAAAAACTGGCCACCTTACCAGCACAAAGTGTTGGTACATTGTCTGTAACTCCCTTACTATTTAAAATACATCAAGTCGTAATGTCCTTTTTGTTAAAGTTCTAATATCAAATAGCCACTGACAGACACCAATATTGCTTTATTGCAGGGGTGTCCAAAGTCCGGCCCCAGGGCCAAATGTGGCCTACGGACAGCTTTTAACTGGCCCGTGGCTTCTGTTTCAGAGTGTGTTATAAGTCGCCCACCAGCCAATACCTTCCAGTTCTTCCTTTCACTTGATAGATTTAGTCGATAGCCATAACTTAACACTGACAACCAGTGATCTTTCTCTTCTTTTCCGTTTCATTAGCTGCCTGGCTGAATGTACGAGACCCTTTTGTCCAAGTTGCTGTACAACCAGCAACAGTTAACACAGCAGTCGTCACACAGTTTGAAGGTAGGTGAATTACTCTCACAGGGACAGACCTGGTCTTCCAACATGAGTGTTCTTCCAGTCCATGTGTGTCATGCAGGGACACACAACAACGGTTTGGAGACAATTGCAGGTTCAATAGCCACGTTTACACGCAGCCTGATAATCCGTTATTAATCTGACTAATAGCTCAATCAGAATAGAATACATCCATGTAAACACCTCAATCGGAATAAGCTAGTCCGATTGAGACCATTCGGAATACAGTTTCTATCCGACTGAACAAGGTGGGTAATCCTGTAAATAATCCGTTAAATAGAAGAATAATATCTGTGTAAACGCCTGTATCTGATTACATTCCCTATCGGAAAGCTTAAGTACATTCTGATCATGTTCGTCACGTCATAGTGAAAGTTTATATCGTTCAACATGGCGGAGCAGAAACTGGTCTGCAGAGGAGACGAAGTTTATGCTCTGATCTTTAAAAGGCGGCGGTGGGACGGACGTCCAGCTTATGTGTCTCAGAACACGACGTCTTCCTCTCGGCCTTCTTTAATAAGGACATGTGAAGGACGTTTTCCTGAGTCTGACTTCATTTTAAAGTAATTAAAAACACAAGCACTGCTCACTGCTGCTCATCTCACTCTGACTGGACTCACGTGATGCTGGATGGTAACGTCTACACTAAGCGGTTCTCTATGCATGCGCTTCATGTTGGATCTGATTACTTGTAGTGAGCATGAAAACGAAGATTTCCATCAGAGTGTTGAGTAGAGTGAGAATAAACACCTCAGTCTGAATCTGTAATCAGAATGTGTTCAATCGGACTGGAGAAAATCTTTGCATGTAAACACAGACACAGCCTCACACAGCCATTTACCTCCAAAAGGAGCTAACTAACACTGACAGTACAACATGTTCAATATGTTTAATAAATAGCTGCCACATTGTTTTAAAGTAAAAGTAAAAAGAAAGTAGTAGGACACAGTACCTGTTTAGGTGGAACTATTGAGCTATTCAGCCAACAGCTGGTTCCTCAGAGCGGAGGCTGAGTCAGAGAACTTGTAGAGAGGAGAATTACACTCTGCAATGTCTTTCAGGTTTCTCAAACACTAGAGGGCGCTCCCAAGTCCAAAATAAATGGGTTAATATGGAGCATTTAAGCAAAATCATAGTTTATAAATGCTGAAACATTTTTAATGTAAAAGAATACATTCATGTCCTGAACACAAAACAGCATAAAATATTTTAACACTGCTGTTATAATTTTATGCGCTTTCAAACTCGAGTTATAGGAGTTTAAAACGGTGCCTCATGTACATTCATGACGTCAGTGAGCGCGAACAGCCAATGAGCTGCTCCACTCGCCAACCAATCAGCACTCAGTAGCAGTAATGTTAGAGTCCTGCTGCCCAAAACCCGTTGGCTGTAGAAAAAGGAAACATACAGGTGAGTTTTCTTTGTTTTTTAGTGAAATCCAACCTTCTACTTTCTAAAATTAAAGGAAAGTTCTGGGCGAGAGATTAGAAACTATTTTAACTTCATTTTTAGCCGTTTAGCTCCATTCACCCCCATTCATTGAGGACTCGCTCGCGGACGCCCTCTGCTGTTTTGCAGTCCTGTTTTTGATATAATGGGGAAAATAGGAAGTGGCCAGACTCCTCTGCTCTGGTCAGACCCTTCTCAATAATGATGCCATTTTCTTAATAAAGATGACCGTTTATATAAAGTATGTTCATTGTTTGTGCTGCTAACATTCTCCTCCACTAAAGCCGTCTTTTTGGGAGCTGGGCTTTTTTCTAACTGGTTTATAAAAATGAAAGTAACCAGGTAAAAGTACTGTACTATAAACTCAAGTAAAAGTACTACTCAAAAAAGTTACAGGGACAAGTGTACTCTGTAATGAGAGTAAGTGTAACTCATTACTTTCCACATTGATCGAACATAATACTCTTCCTCTGCAGGTCCTGACTGGGTTCAGCAAGCAAAATGGGAGCTTCTTCCACCACCCATGTGTACAATGCTTCAAGCTCTGAAATAGAGATCATCTGCCCTGTGGGGAAGCTGGAGCTGCGGGACGTTCAGAAGGACGCCATGGCAGAGGCTGGCGCTTCTAAAGCTGAAGGGGTCATGGGAAAGATGTATAAATTCACACACAAGACCTTCGTAAGAGACGACCGAATTTGCTCCCTGAGATTGCCCCCGAATGACCGCAGCAGCATTAAAGGAAATGGACATCTGTTCATCACTATTATCTCGAATCCTGATTCTACTCCAAAAGAGTTGTGCGTTAACTATCCTGTTCCCATATACAGGTCAATCATCGTGACCGACGACACGGTCAAGTTCAAAGGGTGTGGCAAAAATGACTGGGTTGATGAATATGGCAAGAATCATGACCCAGAATTTAACAACTGACTTCTGTATATAGGAGTAAACAGCCTAATGTTGCTGAAACCAGTCTGACCATAAATCCAATCAGTATCTTGATAATTATTTGACTATAATTTACTAATTAAGATGATTTAAAAATACTCAAACAAAAAAAAAAAATTAAAGAAAAACAACATTTTTTTGTGGTTGATCTCAGGTAATACTTGCTTAAATCCAAGTAGATGTTAATAAGAATGTGTCAAGTGTTCCTATTGTTTGCGCATTTGTGTGATACTAATATTAAGCGAGGAAGGCTGAATGATTTCTGTGAAATAAAAAATGCATATCTGTAATTTTATGCTTACTTTTCTTTAATATAATCATCACACTTGCTGTACTTAAACTCTGCAAGTGCACCGCAAAAAAAAGATTAGTTAAATACAAGAAATAAAGACTGAATATAAAGAAAATAACTTCTGTCTGTTTAGCAAGATCATTTCACTGGACGAGAAATCTTAAAATAAGTCCCAGTGTAGAAATAAGCAGCTCTGATAAGAGTTCAAAGGTCTGAAATAGGTAGAAAGTGCTGCGTTTTAGATCAAACGAGTCGAGATCAGACTCGATACAGCACAGTAATGAGTGAAATACACTGAATATAGCAAATCATTATTAATTCAGTTTTTTGCATTCTTAATTTTAGCACAGTGAAAAAACTAAGGCCAATACAAAAGAAAAGAGAGCAGTAATTTAAGTGGAAATGACTTAACTCTAGTGGAGGATGATTAATAGGCAGGTCTAAACCCGTATTTAAAACCATTTAAAACTAGTGCTTAATCTTACAACAGGACACTGACATTTCCTGACCACTGAACAGAGAGAGAGGGAGAGAGAGACAAGGCATTTTAGGAAAATAATCTGGTTTAAAGTATTTTATAGTCTTTATCTCCATTTTTTAATTGATATTTCTCTGTATCAGTGTTCTGTTTACTTTTCACCGTATATTTATTTATTTGTGTTTATACTGTCAGCTGTACTTTATTTATGCTAAGATTTATTAAGTTTTTCCTGCCTCCTTCTCTGTTCACAGCCTCGTATCTCCCCCTGGTGGTGACTTTTGCAGGCGTTGATGAAAGTAGTTTTATTAATCGAACCTTTTATATTTTTGTACAGTTATTTCCCATTTTATTGTAAAGAGTGAAAAATGAGAAACAGAAACTGTGAAAAAGCTGAGAATTCATTATTTAAATGCATGTTAAACATGAAACAAGCTGTGTTTGTCTTAAGGGATTAAAATGGAAACAAAGATGGAAAGGGTTCAAACAGAAGATAAAGGATTCTTCAGAAACCCTAAGGGAAGGAAGAAAAGCTTGGTTTCATACACTATATGGACAAAAGTATTGAGACACACCTCTTAATCATTTTATTCAGGTGTTTCGTTCAGTCTCATTGCCACAGGTGTATAAAATCAAGCACATAGCCATGCAGTCTGCCTTTACACACATCAGTGAAAGCATGAGTGGTACTAAAGCGCTCACTGAATTCCAGTGTGGTGCTGTAATAGGAGGCCACCGTTGCAACAAGTCAGTTTGTGAAATTTCTGCCCTCCTAGATTTTCCACGATCAACTGTGAGTGGTATTATTGAAAAGTGGACATGTTTAGGAACCACAGCAGCTCAGCCATGAAGTGTCAGACCACGTAAAGTTACAGAGCGGGGGCCGAGTTCTGAGGAGCATAGAGCAGAAAAGTCATCAACGTTCTGCTGATCAATAACTACAGAGTTCAAACCTCCTCTGGCATCAACTTCAGCACTGAAACTGCGCCTTGAGCTTCATGGCAGGGTTTCTATGGTCGAGCAGCTGCATGCAAGTCTAACATCACCAAGCACAGTGTTGAGCGTCAGACGGAGTGGAGTAAAGTGCCGCCACTGGACTCTGGAGCAGTGGAAACGTATTCTGTGGAGTGATGAATCAGCTTCTCTACTTGGCAGCCTGATGGACGAGTCTGAGTTTGGCGAATGCCAGGAGAACGTTACCTGCCTGACTGCACTGTGCCAGCTGTAAAGTTTGGTGGAGGAGGGATGATGATATGGGGCTGTTTTTCAGGGGTTGGTCTAGAACCTTTAGTACCAGTGAAGGGAAATCTTAATGCTTCAGCACCAAGACATTTTGGACAATTATACACTTTGTGGGAACAGTTTGGGGAAGAACCTATTCTGTTCCAACATGACTGAGCCCCAGTGCACAAAGCAGCTCCATAAACGCCTGACTGGGTGAGTTTGGTGTGGAAGAACTTGACTGGCTCTCACAGAGCCCTGACCTCACCCCATCCAACACCTTTGGGATGAACTAGAACAGAGACTGTGAGCCAGGCCCTCTCGCCCAACATCAGTGTCTGACCTCACAAATGCTCTTCTGGATGAATTGGCAGAAATTCCCACAGACACTCTCCAACATCTTGTAGAAGCTTCCCAGAAGAGTGGAAGCTGTTAGAGCTGCAAAGGGGGACCAACTCCATATTAATGCCTATGGATTTAGAATGGGATTCATAAAAGCTTCTGTGGGTGTCCCAATACTTTTGTCCATATAGTGTAAGTCAGTGTTGGTGTTTTCTGCTATTTCGACCGCATTGGCGTGGACACAGAGGATTATGGGATATGTAAAGCAGCAAAGGATACACTTCCCACCATATTTTTTTTATTACTTTATTTGCAATTAGATCCAAAGCACACGCTTTTTCTAACAGTAAAGCTCTCTTTTCCAACAGTTTCAGGTATTTTTTCTGCTGTATTCCTCAATAATGCTGGCTAACTTAAGCCAAAAGTGAGGACTGACCAAACTAACACCGCTTTCACCTTCTCGTATCGGGCAGGGATGACCTTTGCTTTAAATTAGGTGGTTGAGTCAGAAATCCTGCTAATTGAAATACACTGCAGGTTAGCGTCTGATTTAGTGCTGAGTCAGCAGTTCATTTTTCATTTTTAATGAATATTTACAAGTTGCAGACCAAAGACAGACCATAATGTCCACACACTCTATACACTGTACATACATTTTAATGGATAAAACCTCTAGAAACATAAATAAATAAATAGCTCAACTAGCGACTAGCTGCGTGTGGCCGTTACTGAAAGGCTCGTCTAACTGAGGGCTAAAAAAGCTGGACTATACAAGCTTTTATAAATAAAAACCTCCTCCTGTCTGAGAGAAATAATACCTTCATATTCCTCTCACACAGCTATTAATACCACAGCAGGAATCGCTAACATGCAGGTTATATTTAGTGTTGTGATGTTAGGTTGGTTACACTCAGCACACAGACAGGACTGCTTTAGCTTTCCTGACACACTTAATTCAGTTAATGGACACTGAAATGAGCTGAAGAGCCAAAAGAGGTGCTAATCTCAGCACCCTAGCCCAATGCTAGAGGCTAGCATGCTAACAATGTCAACAGTCTGGAAAGCAGGAATGTCAAACTCCGGTCCTGAAAGCCCACAGAGTTCAGCGTTTATCCTGCCTTAACAGACAATTCAGCTCACAAAGCTGCTGGTACTGAGCTGAGAGGTTAAATCAAGTTTTAAAGTGCCAAAAAAAGCTATTTACAAAATTTCCCTCTCACCCCAAATGCAGTCAGACAAGACATGTTTGGTGGCTTCCTTCGTTTCACACTCGAGCTGTGATGCTAATGTAGCTAGCAAATAATAGAGGCTAAAAACAGCTGCAGTGGCCATCTTAAAGCCTAAAAAACAGATTTTTATGTGTTTTAAAAAATACAAATCCCTAATTTTAGTTAGTTATTTAATATAATCATTATTCTTGTTCTATTTAAACTCTGTCAGTACTGTAGTAATACTCTTATTTCACTGGTAAGTTTAGGTTGCAAACAGAAGTATTCAATACTTGGAAACACCACACAGAAAATTGTCCAATCAGGATTGTTTTCTCTGTGGTATCTAGGCAGATACAGCCAATCTGCTCTCCCATTGGTTGGACCTCAGGAGCTGGACTGAGAGCCTTAGATTTTAGATTAACTACCAACATAGTTAGGAAGTAACAGAGGAATCAACCAATCACATTTTGATTAACAATGGTGCCAATTTCTTGAGAAATAACATCACCCTAGACCATCTGAAGTTCTAGATACATCACGGACTGTGAACACAAGTCGTAGCCTAAGCAGTGTTTTAGTTAGTTGTTAGGAATGTTAAACAGTGGCGGCGGCTCTATGTCACTCTTTACTCAAAGAGTCACTGCAAAACTGATACACACAAGATCAGATATATGATAATGTCTGTTACAAGCCTCAAATGAAATATGGATTGTCTTTTACAAACTTCAGATATGCGTGTTTAATCTAGAACAGCCAAAAGAAAATGACCACTGTTAGCTTAGCGCTAATATACTACTAGAATCCCCATAGGGGGCGCTAGCAGAAATTAGTACAATAGTATCACATTCACGTTTTTTGGCTCAAACTGAAAGCCAGCTGGTAAAAATGCACCATATAACTGAAACTGAAAGCCACATTAATGTTTTACAAACAGATTCAAAATCACTGGCAAAATCTGACAAAAAATGGGATAAACAGTTTGTAGCGTTTGCTTCAAATAATGCACATCTTACGATGTATGGAAATATCTCAATAACAGTGGGCTTTTACTGCTTATGCCTTTACCAACAAGGTGATTGGGGTGGGAATTCCTGTAATACAGCCTCCATGCTGTGCATTATCAGCTATCCCATTCATTTTTTTAGCAACTGAACTGTCTCTGTTTAGGCGTGCAGTTAGCACCACGCTAATCAGCTATACTTTCCAGATTACTTCCATTACAGCACTAAAACTAAAGAAGCAAACTCCAAACACCAAACACGTCTTGGCTGATCGACTACATTTGGGGTAGGATTGTGAAAATTTGATTTTTGTCCACACTTTTGCTTTAAATCTGAGAAAACATGAAGCTCTCCAGGACTGGAGTCTGATCAGAGTAGGCTACCCCGACCCTTCTTCAGGGGATTCACCCTGCAGAGTTTAGTTCCAACCCTAAGCCGGTCCACCTGCCTTTAATATTCGGATGTGGATGAAATCCTTTATAAGCTGGATCAGCTGTGTTAGATTAGAGCTGGATCTAAACTCCGGAGGAGGACAGTTCTCTAAAATATGTGAGTGGAGGAAAATAGCAACTGTAACAACTGTAGACATTCACTGTAATCAACCTGCAACTTTCATCACATCACAAATAAAAGCAGGTATTTGTCTCCTGTCCGGCTGCACGATGTACTGTCTGTTAATCGTTATTGTGATACTGGAGTTTGCAGTACAGATATAACAGAAGGCAACAATATGCAAATTAGTCTCTCATCTCTCATCGATGCACAACTCCAGTCCTGGAGGGCCGGAGTTCGGTGATTAACCTACTCAAACACACCTGATTACACTCATCTGTTAACTGCCTGGTGTAGTGAGTGTGTTTGAGTAGGAAAACTACCAAAGTGTGCTGGACACAAGCACGTCTGCTCTAACCAATCACAGTGTTTATTACTGTTTAATTTACCAATCACAGTTTAAACCAAAGTTCATGCAGTCCAACAAATGGTCACTGTTAACAAAAAAAACATTTCTCCCTTTTTTCAGATTTAGATTTTCGGACATACTATTAAAAACAGCATCTGTCTTTTACACTGCGTGGACGTTTCATGACGATTGGACCAATAGAAATGCTCCAAAATCACCTGCAATAAAATCTCTTTACATTAACTTATATTAAAACTAAAGAACGTTTTTTCTTCTCCTGTATAGCTACAAGATTTGTTTTTGGACAGAGATGAAATGCAAATTATTTTGGCTCATATTAACCCTCACCAGATTATTGTTTCACCCATGCATTCTCACTGTAGCTGCGTTCCAAAGCCGAGGCTGCATTTCTGCTGTTAAGTCATAGTAGGCCATTACAAAGTAAAGGACCCTTCGTATACAGCCTAGAAATGCAGCCAACGTTCGGAGTGATTTCAAGGACGCAACAGATGCATCTGCCTTCGTTACCCACAATTCTCTGAGCACGAATAACGCAGAGGGAAAAAAAACAGCACCACGAAAATGGCGGAAAACGAAGCCGTTGGAGCAGAGCTTAGTTTAAAATGTAAGCTGTTCACGTCCTTGAATTCGTCTTTGTTACCTTATGAAGTGGAAAATGATTGATTGATTAAAGAATTCGTCCATATTTTGTATTTTACTCAGAAGTATTTGTATATATATGTAGTTTATATATAGCTACCATAGCAACAAACTCAATGCAATGGGCTCCATTTTCTCTCACCAGTTCCCTCACAAGTTTCCCACCGCAATTGCAAGAGGAGGGTCTTTCTGGTGACATCACTATGCAGCGTCGTAGGACTGCTCCACTTGTGTGACCAATAGGCTACTAAGAAGAAGTCTTCATAGGACAGTCCAACCGAGGACCTGTCCTACCTCGGCTGGAGCCTGGGCTTTGGAACACAGCTTATATTGTAGGATTGCAATATGTATATTCTAGTATAGTCGCAATACTATATATTCCAATATATGCACTATACTATATATACTGGAATATATATATACTATATATTCTAGTACAATCAGAATATTTGTATTGTCAAATGATCTCACAGCACTGCCACCTAAATCACCAAGGAAATCAGTTTGGACGTCAGTTTGATCAAAGCGTGAGTAAAGAAACCTCACAGCTTTTCTTATATGCAGATCATCATGAATCATTAAAAAAGTGCCAAGCGTTCACTGAGTCACTAACGGTCAGATCACTGTGGTTGATGTTGTTATTAATGTGTTTGTGCATGTTCTTACAAATACCTGTCAAACTGGCCAAACAGCAAAGGCTGAATGGCTTAAACGTTTAACTTAAATTACTCAGCTTGGAAAGTGTACAACGTCAGCCTAATATTTCAGTACCAGTTTTAACACGCTCTTGTCCTCTTGCCCTTACCATTGTCCATTCAGGGAACCCCCAAACACCATCTTAAGGGCCGTTCCATTACTGTATCAACTCAACTGATGCTTGTTAGTTGATCCCTTGGAGTAGTGAGGGACCGAGCCAACGTAAATGTCAACACTAGCAGTAGAAGTTCTCCAGAAGTCACTTTCAAACCCCCTGAAAAGCTGCATATAATCCACAATAAAACAGTACTTAGAAACACTGTAAGCTGCACCTGGTAAGATTCGGGGATTTGGAGACCTCTCTGGTAAAAACGCGTAATTGCACGCAATGCGCAGAAGAACAAGTTGTGTTTTGGACCCAACCAGATTGGATGAATCTGACGACTGAAAGAGAATTCAAGGAGAACTCAGTCTAAACTTGGTGATGGAGCGTCTTCTGAGGATGTGAGTGAATTATCTACTACTGTCATCACATCTTCAGCAGTATGATGTTGATTTGAGATCATTTGAGGCCGAAACATCGAGCCGGACCTTCTTTTTGAGTCTTTGTGTGACATTAATACGTAAAGACATTTTAAATGATTATTTCAGGCTTTACAGGGCGACTTGCAGCTCCATATCTTAGCCTGTTTATGTTCTCCTCACTCTGTTACAATTTTGAGAAAACAAAATTCTTACAAAGTGCAGCTTTCAATATTTCAAAACAAAATTATTCAATTTGCTTTAAACTGGGTTTTATGAAGCAAACTACTCTGTTATGCACGTCTGCTGATGATGCTGATTAAGTCCACTAGCTAGCTAGTTAGCTAAGGGCCACACAGCTAGTAACAACAAAAACAAGTGCAATGCACAACTGATCTCATTCTAAACCTGAAGCTACGGCAGAAACTAAAGCTGTCATTCACATATTTTATGTTCATTACGCTCAAACATCATTCTAAGTTTGGTTAGCTAGCTGAATCCAGACTAACCGAGGGCGAGTGCACTATTGTCGAAAATTTCTGCTCCCCTCTGTCCTCTCTACTTCCCCCCCGTGTCCCGCGAGTGGCCACTCATGTAACATGCGTGAGTAGCAAAAGCACATTAAACAGCATTAAAACACAGGACGAGTATCTGCATCACTGGAAGTCAAACACGACTCGGCCTGTGTCCTGTTTGAATGTCTGAATGGACTGTAACACTAAACCATTTGACACCAAATATGGAAAACAATGTGTAATAATTGAGTCTGCAGTAACTATTTTGCACAGACTGCCATTATCAACAGCGTATGGCACTGTGAGTCACGGTTAGGATGGAGCGGAGCATGCAGGTACGCACGAGTACACTCAGCTATGAAAAAGCACGATGTGGCCGATCGCTCTTCACTCTGTAAGAGCCTCCTCAGGCTACGTTCACATTACAGGCTAGAAGTGGTAGTTTGTAACTCAGAATTCATCCAGTGATTAATGTAGAATTACTGTAAATCACTTTAAAATGTTACACAATGTGTATTTCTACTGTCTTATTTTACCCACTATTACTACTGTTATTATTATTATTATCATTATTATTAGTAGTAGTAGTGGTAGTGGTAGTGGTAGTAGCTTATAATCTTATTTATTAGCTTTATTTTTGCTATGTTTTTATAATCTGTTGTACTGAAGGGAGCTTTGCTCATAAGAATTCGACTCAAATTTTACACCGTGTAAATTATGTGACAGTAAAACTGATGCAGGTTCATTTTTTCGGAGCAGACGTGCGCAATTACAGATATGAGTCACTGACTGCTTTGTAATGTGAACGTTATCCGTTTTCTCTCCCTCACATCCTCCTATCCTCTCTTCCACAGTCCTCACATGCTGCTGCCCCCTCGTCAGTCCAGTTTGTTGAGGAAGTCCAGCAGGGCCTGGTGGAACTCGCGGGGTTTGTCCATGTAGCAGGCGTGTCGCGCTCCGGCCAGTTTGACCACAGTGTGGCGGGGAAGCTGCTGCAGGTTCTTCAGAGACTGAGCGCCCAAATTAGTGTCCAGTTCACCAAACACGATCAGCGTAGGAGTCTGGAAGAGAATATTAACAACAACAAACAGCTTATTATTCAGTAAATACAGCGATCAGGCATAACATTATGACCTTGTTTCTACACTCATTGTCCATTTTATCAGCTCCACTTACTATATAGGTGCACTTTGTAGTTCTACAGTTACAGACTGTAGTCCATCTGTTTCTCTGATACTTTGTTAGCCCCCTTTTACCCTGTTCTTCAGTGGTCAGGACCCCCATGGACCCTCACAGAGCAGGTACTATTTGGGTGGTTTATTCTTAGCACTGCAGTAACACTAACGTGGTGGTGGTGTGTTAGTGTGTGTTGCGCTGGTACGAGTGGATCAGACGCAGCAGTGCTGCTGGAGTTTTTAAACTCTGTGTCCACTCACTGTCCACTCTATTAGACACTCCTACCTTGTCAGTCCACCTTGTAGATGTAAAGTCAGAGACGATAGCTCATCTGCTGCTGCACAGTTTGTGTTGGTCATCCTCTAGTCCTTCATCAGTGGTCACAGGACGCTGTCGGCTGGATATTTTTGGTTGGTGGACTATTCTCAGTCCAGCAGTGACACTGAGGTGTTTAAAAACTCCAGCAGCACTGCTGTGTCTGATCCACTCAGACCAGCGCAACACACACTAACACACCACCACCACGTCAGTGTTACTGCAGTGCTGAGAATGATCCACCACCCAAATAGTACCTGCTCTGTGAGGGTCCATGGGGGTTCTGACCACTGAAGAACAGGGTAAAAGGGGGCTAACAAAGTATCAGAGAAACAGATGGACTACAGTCTGTAACTGTAGAACTACAAAGTGCACCTATATAGTAAGTGGAGCTGATAAAATGGACAATGAGCGTAGAAACAAGGAGGTGGTCAGAATGTTATGCCTGATCAGTGTTTGTGGAGAACACTGCAAACTATATCACTGAGTTAATCTTCAGTTATACAATAATAGCTTTCAGAGATCCAGAGCAGCATAAGAACAGTATGAAGTGCAAACAAAATAGTGTGAACTACACCACAGGAACACAGGAAAACGACAACATGGAAAAAGGCACAGAAAGCAAAATCAGAAAAAGTCTGAAGTGCAGAGCTGAACCTGTCAGAACGGAGTGTAAATCTAACGTAAATGCAATTTATAATGTAACTAAATATGTAATTAAGTATGTTATCACACTAAAACAATAATATAAGGTAAGTAATGTCAGCAAAATTGCAATAATAACTACTAAATAATAAAGAGGAAGTATATACAGTCATATGCAAATGTTTGGGCACCCCTAGTCAAATGACATGTAGGAAAATAAGTTACACATCCTCTACTGAGGAAACACTTCTGCACATTTTAATGCACAATCATTGTTTTTTTCTGATTTAACATACTGGGGAAAATTATAAAATGTAGCCGATGCAAAAGTTACGGTTATATTTGTTTTTTTCCCCGAATTGTTAAACTAAACTGTGCATTAAAACTTGCGAGTTTATTTTCACTTAGAAAATCAATAAAACTGTAGTTTGACCAGGAGTGTCAAAAGTTCAGTGTATGCTATCTAATCAATATGCAGTATTCTGGGGATACACACACACACACGCAGGGGTCACCTGGATGTCCTGGTACTGCTGCGGAGTGAGTGTCCGTGTGGCGACCGGAGCGATGGGTATGAAGCCATGGAGCTGACTGCTGTGTTTCTGCAGGAAGGGCAGGGCGTAGTGACCACTCATAGACGGACTCAACAGCACCGGAGACCGAACGCCTAAAGCCTCGAGAAACCGCTTCAGCAAATCCACACGATTCTGATCAGACTTCACTGACTCTGAGGCTGGAGACTTTCCAAAACCTGCAGAAAAAAAAAGAAAAGGAAAAAAAAACAAAGCAAAGGGGGGAAAAAGAAGCAAAAAGAAAAAAAGAAAGAAACAAAAGAATATAGCAAAATACAAAAAAAGAAACAGAAAAAAACAGAAACAAAAAGGACAAAGAAAAAAGAAAGAACATAAAAACAAATAAATAGAAATAAAGAAAGAAATCAATCAATCAATCAATCAATCAGTACACACAAACACAAGAAAGAAAGAAGGACAAAAAGAAAAAGTGGGTACATATACAAATAGTAGAACTAATATTATTTACATTCTGATTGGTTGAAAAGTGTGTGTAACTGTGTTCTTAGTTCTGCCTGTGCTGTTAGATCTGCCTGTGTTCTTAGTTCTGCCTGTGTTCTTAGTTCTGCCTGTGCTGTTAGATCCGCCTGTGCTGTTAGATCCGCCTGTGTTCTTAGTTCTGCCTGTGCTGTTAGATCCGCCTGTGTTCTTAGTTCTGCCTGTGCTGTTAGATCCGCCTGTGCTGTTAGATCCGCCTGTGTTCTTAGTTCTGCCTGTGCTGTTACATTTGCCTGTGTACTTAGTTCTGCCTGTGCTGTTAGATCCGCCTGTGTTCTTAGTTCTGCCTGTGCTGTTAGATCCGCCTGTGCTGTTAGATCTGCCTGTGTTCTTAGTTCTGCCTGTGCTGTTAGATCCGCCTGTGTTCTTAGTTCTGCCTGTGCTGTTAGATCCGCCTGTGTTCTTAGTTCTGCCTGTGCTGTTAGATCCGCCTGTGCTGTTAGATCCGCCTGTGTTCTTAGTTCTGCCTGTGCTGTTAGATCCGCCTGTGTTCTTAGTTCTGCCTGTGCTGTTAGATCCGCCTGTGCTGTTAGATCCGCCTGTGTTCTTAGTTCTGCTGTGCTGTTACTGTGATGCTGCTGTTAGATCCGCCTGTGTTCTTAGTTCTGCCTGTGCTGTTAGATCCGCCTGTGCTGTTAGATCCGCCTGTGTTCTTAGTTCTGCCTGTGCTGTTAGATCCGCCTGTGTTCTTAGTTCTGCCTGTGCTGTTAGATCCGCCTGTGCTGTTAGATCCGCCTGTGTTCTTAGTTCTGCCTGTGCTGTTAGATCCGCCTGTGCTGTTAGATCGCCTGTTCTTAGTTCTGCCTGTGCTGTTAGATCCGCCTGTGTTCTTAGTTCTGCCTGTGCTGTTAGATCGCCTGGCTTAGTTCTGCCTGCTGTAGATCGCCTGTGTTCTTAGTTCTGCCTGTGCTGTTAGATCCGCCTGTGTCTAGTTCGCTGTGCTGTTAGATCCGCCTGTGTTCTTAGTTCCGCCTGTGCTGTTAGATCCGCCTGTGTTCTTAGCTCTGCCTCAGCTGTTTATTTGCCTGTGTTCTTAGTTCTGCCTCTGCTGTTTATTTGCCTGTGTTCTTAGTTCTGCCTCTGCTGTTAGATCTGCCTGTGTTCTTAGCTCTGCCTCTGCTGTTTATTTGCCTGTGTTCTTAGTTCTGCCTCTGCTGTTAGATCTGCCTGTGTTCTTAGCTCTGCCTCTGCTGTTTCATTTGCCTGTGCTCAGAAACAATGTTCAGAGCTTCCTTTCGCTTTATTTTTTTACTACTTTCTGAAAACTGCTGTATAAACAGAACACTGAAAGTGGTACGTTATAGTACATAAAGTTGGAGATGCTCTACTGTGACTGAGACAGCTGCCATCGCTCCCTCTTCATTTTACAAGGCTTATCAGAACACTTCCTCTACTAAAGTAATGTATATGAATCATAAACTTCATGCTTATGATGTTCTCCTACCGGGCAGGTCCAGGGCGAGGGCCTGATATCCGTTGGCCGCGAGCAAACTGAGCGTGCCCAGTTCCTCCCAGGTTTTAGAGGTGAAGGCCTGACCGTGCAAGAGGACCACCTGCAGCCTGACGGAGGAACAAACCTGCAGTTTGTTACTCAAACCAAACTCCTCCAAAACAGCAATGAACCAACTCATTACTCCTACTGTGAATATTAGGGACGTGTGTTCTGACTCATTTTTGATATCTCAATATCTGTAAAAGTTTATTTAAGTTGACAAAATGTCAGCAGCACAAACATCTAGCAGCTCACAGAGTGGACATCTGTAAACAGGTCTTATTAGCCAAAAACAGCTGAGGGAAGTCTTTAGGTCAGAGCGACAGAGGCTGGTTATCCTAAACTTAGGACAGGATTTAGGAGGTTTAGTCTAGTTAGGATGTTTGTGTGATGCTGTTTTCTAATCTGGAGTTCATGATGAGATCATGAAGTTAGGAACTGTTATTCTGGAATAGCGACTGAACTAAATTCAGTCTGTACTGAAGTCGTCATGGAGACTAAACTGATCAGATTTCAGAGTTAGGATGTTTCTGTAATATGACCCCTGATAAAAAAGCATAACGATGAATGCTAAAACGGAATATAATCAATTGCTGAATAGAACAATACTCAATATAAGTATGAACTCATTTGTGGCCCAAATAAAATTATTGAGAAGTCTTAGTGTGTTTTTATCATTGTCTACATTCCACTATTATGTAAACAGTTTCTAGTTACATTTATGCACTTAGTGTATTTCTATTTCTAAGATTATTATGTCGTTAACATACTCCAGATGTATATCTTCTGAATTAGGGGTGCCAAGCTCAACCACTGAAAGGGCCATATTAAAAAAATCTCAGCAAATCTGACGACCAGCTGTGTTTTTATTTCATTTTACTTAACGTTTTGCCCTGACCTGAACGGCCATTGTTCATTCAAAATACGCCAAGACTGCAAAAGCAAAACAGGCACTGAAAACTTATTCAGAAAAAAATTGAAATAAAAATAAATTGTTTTACGTAGCTTTTTTTTAAACTGCCTGTATGTTTAAACTAGACACCAGGCATCTTTTCTTTTTGTGTAACCGCTGACCCATAGATTGTTGTTGGGTGGAAAGGGGTCAGAATGTGCACCATGTTGCAGTGCATGCTGGGGACTGTAGTGCATCTCAGGGTGAAACGGCTAGTAAGAATAGAAAATTAAAATAATTTCACAGGCTGAATAGGACTGTGTGACGGGCCTGACTTGGCCCACAGGCCTTGTGATTGACATGTGGGTTCTAAACACTGTAAATGTGTTTTAGTCAGTAATGTCAACTGTCTTTTAAATATTACAATGTACTGGGCTAAAAAAAAACCACTTTCTTTGAATCTTTGGTCAAAGTCAGACATTCCATTCTCTAAGACGGGTTTTGGTGAATTGGTCCCCTTTACAATCTTATTTGGAGAATGTTATACATTTTAATTAAAAAAAAATTATTTAAATGTATGTAGAGTTTTTTGTTTATCTGCAGACCCAGAATCCCCCATGTATGCCCTACATGTATGTCTTTGTAGGAGAGGCCCAGTCTTCCCCATCATTTGCCTGTCTACAGCAAATGTAAGGTTAACTCTGGGACTCTTTCATCCTTCTGTTTTAAAACTTAATAAAAAAGAATTCTGAGAAAAAAAAACAAGAATTCTGAATGAGAGCAAAATAGAAACGCAATCAATCGTTTCTTGGAGAGTCGTACTGTATCTGAATACCTGGGCAGTATCTGCCTCCCGGCGGAGTCCACAGGCAGAGCCTCTCTGAAGAACAGCGGCGGGTCGCTGGGCAGCTGCCCCGTCCGGACGGTGATGTTGGGAGTCGAGGGTGGAACGGAAGCGGCCATGAGCGCCATCCGCTGGACCGCCAGAGACGGCTCCATGCTGCCCTGCCTCATCGCTGGCAGCAGCAGGTACAGCAGCACCGTGGCGAGCAACACCAGGCCGAGCACGGCCACGCGGTTACGAAAGACGTTCATGTTTATCAGATTCTATCTGCAGAATAGAGCACATTAAACAAAATCAAACATTTAGATGTTTATTATTTGTAAAATGTGCAGTACAGTTACTATATAACACAACAGTTATGTGTATTTACTATCTACGTTCCTAGTTTGCCTCATCGCCCCATCTGTAGTAGTGCAGGCTGAAGCTCAGCTGCAGTGCTGTATGTCGCTCTGATAGAATCCGTGATTGTAGCTCTCATTCAAATACAACCTTTAAACGTCTTTTAAAGTTAAACCTTTAGCACCTTCAGCAGACCACGCTGGACAGACGCTCACAGAGAACAATGGGTAAATCAACAAGCAGCAAACTAACAAAAGCAGCAGCTTAGTGGAGCTTCAGTTCCCCTCGAGATCCTCCACCGTAACAAGAACCCACGAGCTGTATGAACGAGCGAGAGGCTACAATCACAGAGGAGCTGAACCACTGACTGTATATATGATACATATGATATATACACACTCATTGACTGTGTAAAAGATATATATGATATTCACTGACTGTATATATGATATATATAATATATACACCCATTTACTGTATATATGATATACACTCACTGACTGCATATATGATATGATATATACACCCATTTACTGTATATATGAGACATATGGTATATACACTCATTCACTGCATATACGACATGATATATACACTCACTGACTGTATATATGATATATATACACCCATTTACTGTATGTTGTATATGATACATACACTCACTGACTACATTTGATATATATTCACTCACTGACTGCATATATGATATATATATATATATATATATATATATATATATATATGATATACACCCTCATTGTGTATATAATCTATGCACTTATTGGTTGGAGCATGCAGACACTGCTGCTCTCACTGGTTCTAAGAGTTCACATGATGAAAATAATGCTATTTAAATTATTGAAATAATAAATACATTCTGATGAAGCTTATGTTGTTCCCTCATGTAGCTATAACACAACACACTGCTTTATATACGGAGAAATCTTTCTTTAGGGTCAAATTTGAGCAAATAAACACGCAATTAGCCGCAACTGACTACATAAACTAAGACTAATGCCATTAATTGTGAATATTATTTTTGTAATTGTTTATAAAACCAGGGTGGCATGGTGGCGCAGTGGGTAGCGCTGTCACCTCACAACAAAAATAGCCTGGGTTCAAATCCCGGCTGGGTGACCAGGGGTCATTTCTGTGTGGAGTTAGCCTGTTCTCCCCGTGTCTGCGTGGGTTTCCTCCGGGTACTCCGGTTTCCTCCCACAGTCCAAAAACCTGCAGTCAGGCTGACTGGACATGCTAAATTGCCCCTAGGTGTGAGTGAGTGTGTGAATGTGTGTGTCTGTCTGACTGGCGACCTGTCCAGGGTGAATCCTGCCTTCCGCCCAATGACAGCTGGGATAGGCTCCAGCACCCCACCGCGACCCAGAAGGATAAGCGGTTTAGAAGATGTATGTATGTTTATAAAACCGCAAGCGTAAACGTCAGGAGAGAAGATAAGATGACATACCTTCTGCTCTTTATCATAAAGCAGTAATAACAGTGCATGAGGTTCCACAGTTTCTACTGCCTCATTCTGGGTTCCATTGAAATATACAGGAGGGAATTTCTGCATTCTAATAAGAGCTTATTTTAGAAGAGTAATATTCACAAAAAAACACCAACATGGTTTTAAAACACTGCAAACTTCTCTCACAGTGTTTCTGAGAGGAACACAGGACTGTCCCTTTAATCCCTTTAATCCTGTGCAGCTGGTGTAACTGGCGCAGGATCCTTTTAGCTGGTATAAAAGGCTGATTTAGTGGGATTCAGCGAAACAAATCAGCCCGTATTTAAACCAAAAAGCATATTTACGCCTCAGGTCTGTTCAACTAACATGGTAGAATTCGGCTTCCTATTCGCCAGCTTTCTGTTGGAATTTTTCCGTTCCACCTTAAATAATACAGCACTTACATTGTGGCGCCTCAGGAACCAGAATGTAACCGCTGCGCCATTTAAGGTGGAACGGGAGAATTCCAACAAGAAGCTGGCGAAGGAGAAGCGACTTCAGCTTCGTGCAAAACCACCTACACAAGATTAACGTCGACAGCACTGACACGCACTCAGACCCACCTAGGCAGGGATTAACGCAGAACAAGTCGTCGAGAAGCAGCTCGAAAACAGATAATCTGACGAAATTATCATCCTAGAAACACCAGAACAGTGGAACATTTCAGCCCAGCAAGCACAATAACAGTTCCGGGTGGAAACAGCTCGCCCCGCCGCGGTGGTTCCGCACTCATTCCTGTACAGATCATCCACATTTTCACTTTCTGAGTCATAAAAATGGTCAGAATCCACAAACTGTGTATATACATATATATACACACACCGATCAGGCATAACATTATTAACATTACATCATTGTCCATTTTATCAGCTCCACTTACTATATAGGTGCACTTTGTAGTTCTACAGTTACAGACTGTAGTCCATCTGTTTCTCTGATACTTTGTTAGCCCACTTTTACCCTGTTCTTCAGTGGTCAGGACCCCCATAGACCCTCACAGAGCAGGTACTATTTGGGTGGTGGATCATTCTCAGCACTGCAGTAACACTGATGTGGTGGTGGTGTGTTAGTGTGTGTTGTGCTGGTCTGAGTGGATCAGACACAGCAGTGCTGCTGGAGTTTTTAAACACCTCAGTGTCGCTGCTGGACTGAGAATAGTCCACCAACCAAAAATATCCAGCCAACAGCGTCCTGTGGGCAGCGTCCTGTGACCACTGATGAAGGACTAGAGGATGACCAACACAAACTGTGCAGCAGCAGATGAGCTATCGGCTCTGACTTTACATCTACAAGGTGGACTGACAAGGTAGGAGAGTCTAATAGAGTGGACAGTGAGTGGACACAGTGTTTAAAAACTCCAGCAGCACTGCTGTGTCTGATCCACTCAGACCAGCACAACACACACTAACACACTAACACACTAACACTAACACACACAATAATCATCCATTATCATAAAATGGTTGACTAATCACTGCCAATTCATCAAGAAGGCCATTTTGTATAGATTAAAAACAATGTTCAAACAAGTAATCAACCCTATATCTACTATATAGATATAAGGAGTTTTCTCTCTTTCTGCTGATGAGTTGTATCATATATCAAATAAAGCAGTGTGTTCAATTCTGCACAGCAGTGAAAGCTCCTCACAGAAAGTTCCTACATGAAATGGTTATGAATTCACTGCCTGATGACTGAGACACCGTTTTATGATAGTTTAGAGAACTTAAACTCCATTCATGGTGGAGGGATACATGCAGGGCGCTGTGAGGCAAAATAGTCCCCAAAGAAAACTTAATATTTCAGATTTTCCACTATTTTCCATCATCAACATTCCATACATTCCAAACTCAGAAGACTCGTGTAGGTTCACTGGTGGTTCTGGATAGTAAATAAAATGTCTATATTTGTGTTGTAGTCATGGCGACCCCTGGTTCCTATCACCACCACTGTAAAGACATCTGAACCATTTCACACCAAACCACTCAGAATCTCTCTGACATGAACACAACTCATTTGAAATGTGAGCGTAATGTGCGTTTTTCTAATTCTAAGGGCTCAGAAATCAGAATCCTTCACTACTTTAGGACGAATACAGTGTCCTGTAACCTCCAGCTGAGCGCTGTTACTCATTGCAGTGCAAGTACAATATGCAGTGGACAGGGAGGTTCTCAGTGGGGGGGTGGGGGGTGAATAAGTGGGGGCGGACTGAGGAGATCTGAAACAGAGCTGAGACTCCGAATCTGGTTTGAGTTATAAAACAAAGCTTTCTCTGTCCTGCCAGGCCAGTAATGTTGCCTTTGGCACTGTCCGATTACCCCCTTGGAATCAGGACGGATCCCAGAAAACAGAAAAAACTAAACTAGAGCAAAAGTGAACAGCTCGCCTGCATGGAAAGCTACCGGAAACTGGAAAACCCAAAAGTTCTGGGGTGGTGAGTGACACCGGCCTGCGGAGAAAGAAGCAAATATCAGCAAAAATGGAATAATAACTGAATTTGATTATATACTGTAAACTTAAATTAGTTGATTTAACTTAAAAATCATGCAAATGTACTGACTCGAGAAAATGAATTAAACATACTTAGCAGGTTGAAGCTTATATAACTGTATATGTGACGTATAGTTACTTTCTAACTGTCAGTGATCCACACTTCTGTAGCAGGTAAGGCAAACAGCTCAATCACTGATCACAGACTACAGTTTCAGGCCTGGCAGTGCTCGACTCTTGATTTCTGCTTATTCTTGAATGAGATAGGCCAGGAGTCGCAACCCAAACGTTAAGAAGAGCCATTTTGTCCCATTTCAACAAAAATCAAACCACTTTGGGAGCCACAACATTTTATGTCCATTTCACCATCTTGGCTGTAAATGTGTCTCAGTATGTGCTGATGTTCTAGTATAGGATAAAAAATATAATATAAACGAAAACACAGACTGACTTTGCTCTGCTTTAAGCTTTAGCTCAGCTATAGCTGCTTTTCTCGCATCTCCAGCAGGAAACTTTTCCTCAAAAGTGGAACAGTTTCTTGTAAAATGTCTCAACGTTCGTCTTTTTACGAGGCTGAAGTCGCTTCGCATTCGCCAGCTTCTTGTTAAAATTTTCCCGTTCCACCTTAAATGGTGCCTGGGGTGCTGGAATGTAACTGCTGCACCATTTAAGGTGGAACGGGAAAATTCGAACAAGAAGCTGGCGAAGGAGAAAGCGACTTCAGCCTCACGACTTTTTAGTGTTTCAGTTTCTCACTGCAGATTAAACGTATCAGGAAACCAGCTGGAGTGATTATAAACACAAATAAGTCCATTAATCTCCAAATTATCGATGTTCATCTTAAATCTCTCTCTTTGTCGTTTCGTTGGCTACTAACTAGGCGAGACTGTTGTCTGTGTTGCTATGGTGACCAGCAGTCTGAGCTGATCTTCAGGGTTGAAGGGTGAATCAGCAGTTCTACATTAACTCCAGAGTTTAAGATCATTTATTGTTAAACTGTGTTGAATGATCAGCAGAGCTTTATTTTACTGTAAAGGAGGATTATTTTATTTTTACCTACAAATCTGATTCAGCTGTGGAAAAAAATACTCTATAACATTAATAATAATAGTAATAATACGCAATAAAAAGTAACACAAATGTTCTATTTTGAAAAAAGTAGTTTTAATCAGAGCCATTGCTTCTCCTGCTTTTCCCCCCTTTATGTATTTTAATATTTTACACTAATATTAAACCTTATTCTCTGCTCATATTGCGCTTGTTTTAATGTTTGCTATCCGGTGTTGACCAGAGGAGGATGGGTTCCCCCTTTTGAGTCTTGGATCCTCTCAAGGTTTCCTCTTCTTGCTCTTAGTGAGTTCACTGCCGCCGTCACCATTGTAGAAAATGTAGAAACGGGGACTGTATCCATCTGGATTATCATTACAGAGAAATAAAACAATATAACAAATAGAATTTATATATTTTAGTGCAGTAGCCCAGCGTCACCTACACATTCTGCTCCTCCAGCGTTCAATAAGTTCATCATAAATTATCGGTATGATGTATCGGTTATATTTTAAACATCTGTCCAAGTTTTATTTGTCAGTAAATATCTGGCAACAGACATACGACTCCAGTATCACCATTTAAGTGTGTTTATTTTCCTATAAATGTGTTTTATTCATGTGGAAATGATGTGCACATCTGAATCAAGTCAATTAAAATGCAGCACTTTTCCTCAGAGCCCCATTAGTCCCACATTAGGGCACGACTGATATATCAGTACATGTTGAAATCTCACAGACTTACAAGCACCAGCAAAATTCGAGCTGATAAAGTACTGATAATTAGTGGCTTGGAAGAAGAGTCACTATTCATCTTTTATTACAAGCCACTGATATTAAACTACACACAAAAATTCTAGGCACTTATATGCAGAACATGTTTAGTTCACACATGGAAATAAAATAACATCACAACTATCAAACCCTTGTTTTAATTGTAGAAAATAATAATAATAAAACACAGTTACAGTCCTTTGGATTCTCACCAACATATAAAACAGGAGCCCTTGCACTGCACCACACACAGAAATGTTCACTTTGGTTAAAAAAACTCAGAATTTGGCTTGAAAAACTTCAACAGTAAGCAACTTAAGGGCTTTTGGTGTTTTTGCCTGGTTTGTAATAAAGTAATACCGTGAATGTCTCTTTACGCTGAACGAGGCAAATCGTTTTATGAGGCACTAATAAAACAAAATCGCAAAAACATCCATCAACACACACAGACACACTGAAACATCACCGTTTTCCAACAGACAACTTCACAAAACTACAATGACGTTATATATAAAATAAAAACAATCGTAACACCTTCCAGTTTGTTCCCACCGCAAAAAAAAACAATATCACAATGAAATTTAGTGAAATGGAAAAAACACGATTTGATGCGAAACGTCTGTGCTTTAGTGGATGAAACAGAAACCTGTGAAACGTCCATCACACCATCCAGCAGTGGTCAGACGGAGGCTTTGGGTGAAGCTTTAGAGTTGCTCGGTCTGTGTCTTTAGTATTGCATCCGCTGCGTGCGGTAGGCCTTAACTGTGCGCCGCCTACGGACACGCCGCGACCTGATCGTGTAGGATAAGGCAAAACAATAAACATAACCCCAAAGATTAAAACATGTTTCAAAAATACTTAAAAACTTGTTTGACCCGAATACAGACGACACTGCCAAGCGCACATCATAATACAGGGACATAAACACTCAACGCTCAAACAAGCTCAATCCATCGTTTCAGGCACAGTGTAAAATCTTTTTTTCTTGTAGTTCATCCTCCTGTGCAGCAGGCGGCGAGGAGCACTACACTAAAATGCTCAAAAGCAGCAGGTATTGTGAGAGCTGGTTTATGAGGAGCCTGGCCACTTCCTATTTCCACTGTTATATCAAAAACAGGACTGCAAAGCAGCAGAGGGCGCCGCAAGCGAGTCCTCAATGGGAGTAAATGGAGCTAAACGGCTAAAAATGAAAAGTTAAAATAGTTTCTAATCACTGAACCAGAGCTTTCCTTTAGTTTTAGACAGTAGAAGGATGAATTTCACTAAAAAAGCAAAGAAAACTCTCCTGTATGTTTCCTTTTTCTACAGCAAACAGGTTTTGGGCAGCAGGACGCTAACATTACTGCTACCGAGTGCTGATTGGTTGGCGAGCGGAGCAGCTCATTGGCTGTTCGCGCTCACTGACGTCATGAACGTACATGAGGCGCCGTTTTAAACTCCTATAACTCGAGTTTAAAAGCTCTTATAAATATAACAGCAGTGTTAAAATGTTGTATGCTGTTTTGTGTTCAGGACATGATTGTATTCTTTTACATTAAAAACATTTAAGCATTTATAAACTATGATTTTGCTCAAATGCTCCATATCAACCCATTCATTCTGGACTCGCTCGGGAGCGCCCTCTAGTGTTTGAGAAACCCAAAAGTTATTAACATTATTACAGAGCGGGAATTCTGCTCTCTACAAGTTGGTATCGTGTCTCCATGTTTCTTCTCCGCTTTCGCTCCATGTTTATTTACATCACATCCAGGGCTCGTGCTGCTTTCACGTGTCACCGGAATTACCGTAAACACGACTTCCTGACCTGAACAGTTGAGCATTAGCGTCCTTTAAAGTCGTGATTACAAGCGGAAGCTTTGGAAACACTTTAATTTTAAAACTCAAGTTGTTTTCAATCTGTACCCTGTTGTCTTAGCGAAGTAACGGCCATTTTCAGTGGTCGATAAGAAGGGCGACTGTTTACTTTTCCAAATTTAATTTACGTTTTATAATCACCAATTATGCAACAGGCATTTACTTACATTTGTAATTATTAGCTGCACTGTGCACATTTTTAGTATGTAGGGAAAACGCTAAAAAGAGAGCGAAACAGATCAGGCTAGCTACGAGCTAACGTTAGCGGGGGATTCATCAAATAGGCTCGGCTAGCAATTTAAGGTTCCACTCTTTGTGCACTGCATTTTATTCAAATTATCACGTTGTAGTTTGTAGCCAACTGAAGCCGTATTTACAGTTGTATGCAAAAGTTCGAACATCCCCCAAAAAATAAAAAATTACACGTTTTGTTGATTTTCGCAGTAAATATTTGTTTCCTCTGCAGGAAATAAACTTAAAACTAGCATCTTCTGCAAAATTTTGGTTAAAATTTTCAATACATTTTTTTAATTGATAGAAATGTTCCCTAACTTCTGCACTGGCCACATTTCATGTTTTATTTGTTTTTCCAGTATGTTTAAGCAAATAAACAGTAATTGCGCTTTAAAATGTTTTCGCTGTAGAGGATGTTTTAACTTATTTTCACGTAGAAAATTAACAAAACGTGTTTCTGACCAATCTTTTGCACACAACTGTTGTTGATAAACGAATTCAAGGCCAGTTTATCCAGTTTCGTCAAAAGTAAGTTTTCCCAAACAGCTTCCTGATATCCTTTACATTTCCAAGTTCATAATTACGACTTTGCAGGCGGGAAATATCCGACGAACACGTGAAGGCACCATCAAACCACCTGGATTCCAGCGTGAAGGATTCTCTATCGTTTCCGCAGTGCTGCTTCTCTAACACCCCGTCTCTCCGCTCCTCACTGCAGAAATCCCAGCACTAGCATGAGCGTGAGCACCAGCGCCCCCTGCAGGCTGGTACAGTGAGCGGTCCGGGCAGATTCAGCTCCGTTTCGGCTCTCTTTCTGGCTGCAGCCTGGGCCCTTGTACCCGGTGTAGCACTGGCACTGGAAGTCCTCCCGCAGCCTGGCCTGCTCCTCCGGCCCCATCTGACCGCGCACCACCAGCCGGCCACCCTGCAGCTCCAGCTTGTGAGTGGCTGCACTCAGGTGCAGGTAGGTGTCGGTGTCGGGCCGTCTGCGCAGGCAGCGCCCATGGTAATCGCACAGGAACCGGCTGCACTGCTCCGCCGCCGAGGACACGTTCAGCAGGTAACGGCCCAGCGAGTCGCGCAGGTAATCACTCAGACTGGAACAGATGACCTGCAGCACAGCAGGACACACAGCAGACACAATCAAGGAAAAGTTCATAAAGCACATTTAACTCTTTAAAACATAAAGAGGGTCCACACTTTAGTTCCAACACCACTGAATAATTTACTGTAGATAAAACATTATTCATAGCAGTTATTGAATAATTCATAGCAGTTATTGAAAAAACAGCAATAACAGTTCATGAATAATTCACAGTAGTTAATGTATAATTCATAGCAGTTATACAATAATTATGATTAGATACAGAATAATTTATTAGTCATGACTAAATGAATAAAAATAGAAAGAATGGAGTCTGGTAAACAGTAAGGTTAAGGGGGTTTAATAAACAGAAGTGTAGTAAACAGTCACAGTAAACGGGATCCGTCTATTTAAACGCTTAAAACAGACTTTTTTTACATTTGGAAAAATTTTAGGCATGTAATTAGGGTGGCTGTGTGTCTGTGCCATGTTTGTGTTAGATACTGAATAATTCATAGCAGATACTGAATAATTCATAGTAGATACTGAATAATTAACAGTAGGTATTGTATAATTTATAGTATGTACTGAATAATTTATAGTAGATACTGAATAATTCATAGTAGGTACTGAATAATTCATAGTAGATACTGAAGAACTCATAGTAGATACTAAATAATTTATAGTAAATACTGAATAATTCATAGTAGGTACTGAATAATTCATAATAGATACTGAATTATTTGTAGTAAACACCAATTAATTCATAGCAGTTACTGAATAATTTATAATTTAAGTGACGTCACTTTTAAACACCACTTTCTGTGATATTTCACACACTTAGAAACATCTAAAAGCAGCATTAACCTTATTTCACTATTAGATTACTGTGTCCGCTTCACTGTAAATATAAAGACATTATGATCAGCTGTCGTGTGGAGAGAGGGAGAGTCGTACGTTACTGCTGGCGTAGATGGAGTCGCCCCAGAAGATCACACCAGCAGCCCCCAGAGACACACTCTCACCTATAGTGGAGATCAGGTCCACCTGAGAGAGAGAGAGAGAGAGAGAGAGAGAGAGAGAGAGAGAGAGAGAGAGAGAGAGAGAGAGACCTACATTTTAGCTCAACAGTCAGGATATTCAGTGCAGCTACACTGTTAATCTGATATACATGTTTCATTTTCAGCATCACATGTGAAAACACAACTGTCTTGCTGAAAAACAGCTCGGCCGGATTGAGCAGGTTGAGCTGTGTGACAAAAACGACGAGTGTTTTTGTTTTTAATGGTGTCACTGGTCAACCAGCATGACCAATTTGACCAAAGTGGTCTACCAGCAAGATCAGCATGACCAAGGTGGTCTACCAACATTACCAGCTCAGTTCCATCAGACAACACTGTGGTCTCTGGGCCTATCATGAAACAAACCACAGGCCAGCTGGTACTGAAAACAGAATGACCATGATATTTCCTGAATCGGGGGTGTGAGGGAGTAGATGAGCGTTCAGAACACACCGGTTTTGCCAAGCCTGCGGGGCTAGTGTTAAAAAGCAACACTGACAGGTTTATCTATATATATATCGTTCAGTTTTTCACAATAAAAATATTTCAGATGATAAAAATGGTTCTTATTAAACCGTAAAGGGACATCCCAGAATAAAAATCCACTATTAACAAACAGAAATAGGTGTAACGTCCAGGCGGCCAGCTAGGTCAGCTCCGGCCACTAGGCGGAGACCAAAAGCCAGGACACGGTAATTAGGGCAGAGCAGTAACAGCTGTGGGCGCCTCACTTAAGAGGTGCTCACATGCTTCTTTCCGCTCAGTCTTGAGTTTATGCTGCCATGTGCACGTAATTTCGGTAAACAATCTTAAGTCTCAAGTGTTGCCTCTCTTGAGGTACTCTCCCGTGCAAGTATTAAAAAAAAACAAACTCTTGCATGTTCCTCCAGTCCTTGTCTTAGTGCACTTCTAGTAAATAAAAAAATATCCTTCTGTTTGTTCTAAAAGCTCTCAGTCAAAGAGTAAAGAGCATTGTGTTTTTGTTTCAAGTAGCTCTCAGTGCTTCGAGAATATTATCCATAAAGCCGTCAGTTGGCTTCGTTGGTAGTTTGGCCGCGGTACAACGCGCTGGTCATGCAACGTAAAGATAAAGGGTTCGATCCTCCCCCCGACCACTACCTCTCTTTGTTTATTTTGTTTCTATTCGAGTTCTTATTCCTTTCAAAACTGTTTTGGTTGTTTTTCCCCCAAGTACTTAGCCCTTTTTTCTAAAGTTAAACTTTCCCCTCGAGACCCTGTTGCTCTGCACTTGAGACCACCCTCTAGTGTCCGCAGGGTGGTTTGTTCCTAGCACTCCAGTTCACCATCACAAAGGTTGTGAGTTCGATCTTCACCCAGGGCGAACAACCCGGCGCGTTACGTTAGTTGTACTTTAGCCTTTGACTCTAATGCTGCTCGCATGGAGCACCGAGGGTACTGATGAAGCAAGAACCCGTTTTTGTTTAAACTGAGGGGCTGACAGTTTATCTTCCTCAGTAGAACTGGGCTGGTTAGCTAGATAACAGGCTAAAAGATAGCAAACTGCCTAACAACTCCATCATTAATATCACAGGCTTGGATTAAAGTACCTACGGTATGATTAACTGTAAAACGGCAGTATAAAAGTCTAAAAATGTCACCTGAATGTCTCTCACGCTTCAAATGTCCGTGTTTCAGTCAGAAGTGGCGTCAAACCCAGGCTGAATCCCAAACGACTCTGTATTCCCTAAATAGTGAGCTGTGTAACATTAAGTTTAGAAATTCTAGCTTCAGCTCTCAAATACTGCACTGCTTGTCGAGTCTGAATGTGGATGAATCCCAAATGACCATTTTTTAGTGATATTTTGCTCTGTTGGGCTGCAGGAGTCAGTATTTAAACTCCTACGTAGTGCACTATGTAGGGAGCAGGGAGGCGTTTGAGATTCAGCCCCAGTGTGAGAAAAGTGGCGTCGTCAGACTGGCAGACGACTCGCGGTGGTAATTTGGTGACCAAAAAGTACTTATAAACTGAAAGTATTCACATTAAACAGTGCTGTGTTATCATATGTTCACTGTTGTACAAAAAAAGTTTTTAAAAAAATCATGAAATGTCTGCAGTTCACAGTGATGGGCGACCGAGTGTTCTTCTCATTCAGCGGTCCATGGCTGCTTGGCAACGATACTGTATTCTAAAGGAACTACATTTCTTGGCGGAAATACATGTTCATGTCGATTATTATTAATAATAACTTAAATAATTATCTAAAACCTTTTGTATTTTAATATATTTTATGTTGGCTGCCATTTTATAAAAGCTTCACGTCGTGCCTAACAACACCCTTTTCTGGTGACAAAATCGTAGTAACCCATGGCCTCTTGTGGCTTACTGCTTTATTATTTAGCATGATTTTGGCTATATTGCCCTCTACTAGGTGGAACACTTTAACCAATCAGATTGTGTGGGCGGAGCTAACTGCTGTATCCCACACAGGGTGACACAGATACACCCAAATCTGCACACAGGGTGGAAAATGACATGATTTCTGGGATTCTCTCTGCATGTTTCCCATCAGAGTGAAGTCAGTGCTACTGGCCAGGAGCAACACACACACACACACACACACACACACACACACACACCTCATTAGTGTACATGGGTGTGTTTCATTGTCTTGGAAAGGAACATTTTTGGTCTCACATTCTGCTGCTGTGAATCACCATTCACTCCTATCACTGATCACACACACACACACACACACACACACACAGAAAACACATTTAACAGAGCATTACCCAAAAAACCTTCAACAACTAAACATACCAATCTTTTGTTCAGTGTTCAGTGAGTCACTCTTTCCTTTTATTCCAGCTTCCATTCTTTTCAGAAAACTCAGCTTCTCAAAGAAACCTGCAGACACACCTCCCAAGTTCAGTCTTAGAAGTTGGTTTAGCATTTTCTGAAGTAATCAAACATGCTGGCTGTGTTTACACGCGAAGATTTTTGCCAATCTGATTGACTGAGGTGTTTATTCTCACTCTACTCAACAATCTGATGAAAATCTCCGTTTACATGCTCACTACAAGTAATCAGATCCAAAATTACGCTCATGCGTAGAGAACTGCTTAGTGTGGACGTTAACATGACAACCAGCATCACGTGAGTCCAGTCAGAGTGAGATGAGCAGCAGTGAGCAGTGCTTGTGTTTTTAATCACTTTAAAATGATGTCAGACTCAGGAAAACGTCCTTCACATGTCCTTATTAAAGAAGGCCGAGAGGAAGACGTCGTGTTCTGAGACACATAAGCTGGACGTCCGTCCCACCGCCGTCTTTTAAAGATCAGAGCATAAACTTCGTCTCCTCTGCAGACCAGTTTCTGCTCCGCCATGTTGAACGGTATAAACTCTCACTATGACGTGACGAACATGATCAGAACGGACTTAAACTTTCCGATAGGGAATGTAATCAGATACAGGCGTTTACATGGATATTATTCTTCTATTTAACAGATTATTTACAGGATTACCCGCCTCGATCAGTCGGATAGAAACTGTATTCTGAATGACCTCAATCAGACTAGACTATTCCGATTGAGCTATTAGTCGGATTATTACACGTAAACGTGGCTGTTTTTAAACCATGCGTGTTGAACACTGCAGTACACCATAAGATTGATGTACCTTAAGGCCACAGCTTAGGCCTAAAGGCTTCTCTTCCGCAGGCATGAACTCTATTCATGCATTTAATGCGTTAAAAAGTCTTACACACTCTTTCTCTTTCTCTCTCTCACACTCCTACGGCACCTTCCACACTTTCTCTCTCTCTCACATACTTTCTCTCTTACATACTCTGTTTCATCCTCACTTAGTCATTCAATTCCACACACACACACACACACACACACACACACACACACACACACACACTTCCCACATTAAAACACTGCTGTGTGAGCTGAACTCTCCCGTCACTCAGCTCGACCACCCCAGTGATTAAAGAAACACCTGCAAAATAATCCGCTCTCATACTGACAGCTGTGTTTCTGTACTTTACACAATCAGAGACTTCAGACAGAGTCCGATTACTGCCTTTTTAGAGATCTGAGTTAGATTAAACTAGATTAAACCAGATAAAATAGGATCTGACATTAGATTAGATGAGACTAGAGTTTTAACAGAGATTATAAATGTTAGTCAGTCAGAGTTCCATTACTGAGATTTAAGTTAGAGTTAGAATAGTGTTGGATTAACTGGTTATAATAAGAAGAAATTAGAGGAGACCTTAGAATTTGATTAGGCAGAGAATTCGATTTGTTAGTTTATAGGTAGAGTTAGATTAGTCAACGTTAGAGTCACAGACAGATTAGAGTTAGATTAGCTAAAGTTAGATTAGTTAGATTAGTTAAATTAGCTAGTTAGATTAGCTACAGTTAGTTATTCACAGTTAGATTAGAGTTAGATTAGCTACAGTTAGTTATTCATAGTTAGAGTTAGATTAGCTACATTTAGATTAGTTAGATTAGTTCAAGTTAAATTAGCTAGTTAGATTAGCTACAGTTAGTTATTCACAGTTAGATTAGAGTTAGATTAGCTACAGTTAGAGTTATTCATAGTTAGTTAGATTAGAGTTAGATTAGCTAAAGTTAGATTAAAGTTAGATTGGCTAAAGTTAGATTAGAGTCGCATATCAGTTAGTCACCGTTAGATTAGAATTAGATTAGCTAGAGTTAGGTTAGTTATATTACATTAGAGTTATATTACAGAGATAGATTAGCTAAAGTAAGATTAGAGTTAGATTAGCTACACTTAGGTTAGAATTAGTTTAACTAAAGTTAGATTCGAGTCAGATTAAAGTTAGTCACCATTAGATTAGATTTTAGCTACAGTTAGGTTAGAGTTTGTTTAGCTAACATTATATTAGAGTTAGTTTAGCTAAAGTCAGATTAGAGACAGATAAACTGAAGTGAGATTAGTCACAGTTAGATTAGAGTTAGATTAGCTAAAGTTAGAGTCAGTTTAACTAAAGTTAG